AGATACACATTCTTTTTAAAGTCTCATGAATTTCATCTGTAAAATCCAAATATCTTCTAAATAGGTATAGCTTTCCAATCAGCAATTCCTTTGACATCCATCTCGCTCTGCTGATAGCTCCAATCACCCGGATTTTACTTTTCTGTACACAACGTGTCAAGGGAAAGTATAGGAATTGGTCCCGAAAACTTTTTTAGCAAAATTAGCTTAGATCATCATAAAAACTCATGAAACGCGTAGAGACACTTTTCCGTTCGTGCGCCGTCGTTGTCGTCGTTGTTGTCGTCGTCGTTGTCGTCGTTGTCGTCGTTGGTGTTTGTTAACACGATAACTCAAAAAATAATTGAGATAATCAAAATCTGGAAATGCCAAAAGTTTTGTATCCGAAAAACTTAGTTTAAGTTCGAAGATGAGCCATTTTCGATTTGACCCTAGGGTACTTGCCCTAAGAAAAACCTCAAAAAATTGACACTTTTGTATGGGAGGTACCTGTAAATCGACTCCGATTGGCTTCAAACTTTCTGGGATTTCATTTTTTGAGAAAAAAATAAGATTCTGAAAGTTTTAATTTTAAGTGCCTTTCGACAAATGAATGTGAATCCAGTGGCGGTTAAATTAATACCAAACAAACGAACCGGGCAATTATCAGAGTATTGCTTTGTAAATTTTAGTAGTGCCGAAGATTCGGAGAAGGCCATGAAAACATTAAACGGCAAATTAGTCCCTGGAATCACACCAGATTTTAGATTTAAGTTAAAAGAAGGCACCGACAATAGTCAAAGTGACCAAGAAAGATGCATGGCCCATTTTTCATTTGATGATAAAAATGTTAAAATTTGTAAATCAGAATTCAAAGTATTTTTGCAAAAATTGGTCTCACCTTCAACAATTGTCGACTTAAAATTACTCAGTGAAAAGTGCAAAGGCACAGGTTTTATCAGATTTGAATCTCAACTTGATAGAGATAATGCTGTCTTCAAAATTCATGGCCAAATTTTTCAAAATACTAAGGTTTTCTGTCATGAATTTAAGTCAAGTAGAATAGGCGATAAGTTAGAATGTGAGCTCCATTCTAATTGGAACAGATTTTATAGCAATTGGAATCGATATGCATAGTTGCATTAGTCTACAATTGAATTAATTAATTGAGGCTGTGAGAATGAAAATGGCAATACAGGAATAAACATTCTGAAACGCATCAAGAAAAAAATATTCGCAAAAGTGAATCATAAGTTCTGAATACGCAAAAGTGAACCATGAACCTCCTATGCTGCCCATGTGAATTCATGTTTCACTTTTGCATATTTAGAACTCATGAATCATTTTTGAGAATTTTTTTTCTTGATGCGTTTCAGAATGTTTATTCCTGTATTGCCATTTTCATTCTCACAGCCTCAATTATAAACGTTTATACCGCTAAAGTATAATTTGCATTGAAATTACGTCCAAATTTTTTTTATTTAATTTTAAACGAAATGGATTTGATTCAAATTGAATGGTCCGTTAAGAACAAAAAAAAAAAGAAATTCAACGATCGTTGAATTTAAGTTGGAAGTGCGTCAAAAAAACCATGCAAATGTGAATACGAAACGTATTGCAACGTTGTTATTCATTTCAATACGTTTCGTATTCACATTTGACAGTTGGTAGCGCTGTATGTACTTCGGTTTGACACTTCGCATAAAAAAATTGTGTTTGTTGTTGATCGTTTTCAAAAGAAATTTTTTCTTTTTTCTGTGATTATAATTTAATTAATCATCGGAAATAATGCAAAAAAAACAAATCCAACATGAATTTCAATATTTTGATGATTTTATGACATGGATCCGACTTAAGTTAGATGTAGAGTTTTTGTCAAGTGAAATAAACAATTTTTGTGGTTCTGTTGGTGATTCAATCATTGCAATCGATATAAACTTTCGGCGACTTCACCTTTCAAGGCTAAATTTCTGTTTCCAATTGATATAATTATCACGGAGGACGATAGTCCGACAATTGACGCTCCATAGACTGTGCATTTCAAGCCAAATATCAAAAATGCCAGTTTTTGCGTCACGAGTAATATATACAGTAAATATGCTATTTTCTCAGGGCACTATTTGGGCCCCGGCATGTTAGGTACCGTTGGAAAGGTCTTGCCCAAATAGTCGCAAACACCATATCCCCCATGCCTAAAGTATGGTGTAGACAAAAATATAGTGGTTGGAAAATTTGGATAAATTTTCAAATCTATACCCATATCTTACGAAGGGGGTACCTAAGGTGTCCAAGAGAAGCTGCTCCTCGCCACCTTTCCAACGCCGGTCTAAGTGCCCCGATTGGTCCAAAAACGAAAAAGTTATGGGCATTGGCAGTTTGATCTTGATTTTTTATGAAAGTATTGATTTGTGCGTGCGTCCGTACGTCTGTCCGGAAACTTTTTTGACCCCCACCGATTCCGGTGCCGATATGCTCAAGCTGTAGCTGGTGTCGGGCCACATCGAAACCCGTCCTCAGATTGACATTTGCATTACAGGAGAGCTGGCTATGGCTTCACTAGCCTGCATGTATACGATTTTTTCAAGTATTTATTTCGCACACTAGATCAACTCAGGCGCTCATCGGGCAAACTCAGCTCGTACATATTTGAGAAGACCTTCAAAAAGTTCATACACACATGCCAATGTTTACGTGATATAAAAGAAAAAAGTCGATTTTTATGAAAAAGCGACGCCCTTAAATTTCACGCCAAAGGCGATTTCTCAAAAATGAGTCCGACAATTTTTACCAAAAACTGAGCGTTTGTAGCCGGCTACCATACCAACAAAATGGCATTTGCCACATATCCGGGAAAATTTGTATTTCGAAGTTCTGGGCATAGGCAATTCATCAATGAACGGAATTTTTACGAAGAGTCGCATTCTACGATGAAATTGCTGCCAAAAATACGCATCTACTGACTGAAAAAGACTCACGAAAGACCATATCCGCTCAATTTTCGACGAGCAATCGATAAAAAGTGGTCACAATGCGATCTGAGGGCATTTCATGGTCGAAATGACTTCGATGATACCATGGATACTACCATGGATCCTTCCATGGATGCTACCATGGGTGCACTCGTGCCCGCAGCAAGTAGCACGCTTAGCTCGGTTGAAACGACACCACCGGCACGCCGTCCGGATTCTCCGATGCCAGGTCCAAGTAAGCGCAAACGTGACGAAGGCATTTCTGCTAAATTGGCGGCGAAAAAGCGAAGATTGGAAGCCAACCGAGTGGAAGCCATCGTTGATTACATCAAAACGCCATCGGTCTTGCGGCCATTGACTACTCGGGAATGGTCACTGTAAGTTTTTGTTTTAAAATCAAAAAGTCTACTAAGGAGACTTTTGGTAAAAAAATAAAAAGTCTACTAAATGTCTAATTAAATTTCAGTTGCGTATTGAATTGCCCCGGCCCACACGAGCTACGTGCGGTTGCGCGTACGCGCCGCACAATTATGAAACTGCAATGGTTGAATTGTATTGTGTGCCGCCGCAAGATTTATAACACCTGCTGCGGCGAGCTTCGCAATTTCATTGACAACAATGGACTTGCAGAATATGAAGGCCGGATTAAGGCACCATTTGAAGTGCGTCGGAAGTACAGATGCCACGATTGCACATTGCGCCACTTCAATTCGCGCTTCGACAATCGCAACCGCATCTATGCTGTAAGTATACTTTCATACAAACAACATAAAGTCTACTTAATAGACTTTCAGCAAAAAAAAAACTTGACTAATTAAAACGTTCCAATCTTACAGCTGGTCCGTTGGTCATCAATGAATGGCCGCAACATCAACAACGCTGATCTGGTTGCCCTGTTCAACACTCCTGCCGAAGACATCAACGAGGAATTGTTCAATGAACAATTCAAAGCGGAATTTAATTCCTCAATGTTCGGTTCGCAACAAACAGCAAACACCAGTACGGTGATTTCGGTCCACCGTGGATTGCTCCGCCCCGCTGAATATGACGAGTACGACTCCGACACCGACCAGGACGCTGACCAAATCTCACTTGGCACAAAATTTGAATTTTAAAGCCTGTCATCTGTCAAATTTCAATCAAATGGCAATAAAAAAACATTGATTAATGATTCGTACTTAGTGCATTGTTATTTAAAAAAAAAACAAAAAGTCTACTAAGTAGACTTTTATGAAAAAAACAAAAAGTCTACTAAGAAGACTTTTATGAAAAAAACAAAAAGTTCACTAAGAAGACTTTTGGCAAAAAAACGAAAAGTCTACTCTTTTGAAACGTGGTCTCAGGTATAAGGTTATGTTGACTACGCGATGACATTTCATTGAACGCATACGAAAATTGGCCCATATTCCGGTAGTAATTTTTAGTACACGTTTTAGTACGTGCTTGAGTGGTGAAAATGGTATGTGTCTTTGGCGAAAGCACCCTGATACAAACCGAATGATCATGGATCGGGGTGCTTTCGCCAAAGACACATCCCAATGAGGAAAACGTTACAGTTGTACAAATTTTGTGCACAGCTTATGGAGAAATTACATTGGCCGTGTACGAAATGTATACAACTGTAACGTTTTCCCCATTGGGATACCATTTTCAACTCAGAAAGATGGACGGATTTTAGCGGCAAAATTTGCCGCCAAATTTTGCCTCATACCATTGTTTGTCACAGCATCATTCATTCTTTATTTGGAAGTTGGGTTCGACGTGACATATTTTTTTCTATTCATTATATCATTGAATTTCACATCAGTTCCGTGAAAAAAACAAAAGTAAGTGTTTCACCGTTGTAACTAAGATAAAAGAATTGAATAATAAATAAATAAATAATTTTTATTGCAGATGTCTGACGAGGTTCGAACCAGGGATGGCATGTCAAAAACCTCGTGTCAAATTTGATGTCAAATACCTAGTTAAAACATGAGTATTTGACATGCATTGTCAAAAACTCCAAAGAGGGCTTTTCTGTACAATTTCACGAAGAAAAAAAAAGAGGAAAATACAATAGATTTGTGAAAAAAATACGGAAAGTTCGAGTTTATTTTTGAATTGTGTTATTTTTACGTAAAAATGATCATTTTGTTTGGATAAAAAATCTTCGGTTTTATTCATCTTGATCACTCTCATCATCGGTTCCGAATTGCTCCCCTTCCATTTCAAAGTCCTCGTCGTCATCTTCGATAATTTCGTCGGTTGTGCGCAACGTGAAATTGGTGTTCACGAGTTTTTTGGATGTTTCGGTCGATAGTCGGTTTCTAATGTCATTGTGCACATATGCCCAGTTGGAGAATAACCTTTCAAGCTGTGCAGTGGATGCGGGAATTTTCAAGTAATCCAGAGCGAATGTAGCCAACTCTCCATGGCCCAATTGGTCGGCGAAGTGCCAGAACGCTTTTGGTGAAACGATTTTCTTTTGAGCTAAAGATGCAAACGCTCCTTTGCCTTTTGTAAATCCATGTAATGATTCAAGTGCAGGCCCTTTGAGCTTATCAAAAACGTAGCTTGTAACTTGTCTATGTTGATCCTCATTCAATCTTTTGCCGCGATAAATCGGATGAAAAAAATTAGCCGTTAACGTAACATCGTTCAAAATGTTGCTCTGCTTCATTCGGCTTTCCACAAATGGACGCAATGCCACTGGCCCATCTTGCAATAATTCAAGCCATTTCTCTGCTGCGTCAGCAACAGAGCTGGTGCTCTTTTGACAATAATTTGTCAATTTCGCGACCGGATCTAGTATATCGACCAAAGACTTAACCGATGCGACAAACTTTTGATTGAATAGACGAGAAGAAACGATTGGTTTTGGTCTAATCGTGTCTTTGTCAGATTCTGCCTCCACTTCGCAGGCAGTAGTGACCGTTTTCATGGTGGACAAATTCTTCAAAAATGACTCGCCGGCACTTCGTTGTGATGTCCAACGGGTTGCACAAGGCAGAGCTGGTTTATGGCCACCAGCTTTTAAAAGTAGGTCTGTCAAGCCAGTTCTTCGGAAATCTTTTTGCACAGTGGTCACTTTTCGCATAATTTTAGAGTTTACTGGCTTGGAAACGATATCACCAGCCAACAGATTAGCAGAGTGGGCGTTGCATGTTGAATAAAGCAAATTAGAGGCATTTCCCATCCACTGCACATTAGCTGCATTATCGGTCAAAACGGCATAAACTGTAGCATTACTTGCTCTCTCTTGTATCTTTTATTACGTTTCTCCTCCCGCATTTTGAGTGTGTGCATAAGCTAAACGCAGGAGAATACGCGTCTATGTATTAAGCATACTTAATGTATGTATTCAATGAGCCATACTATGTATTTTTGAATGTTTTGGAGTTTTTGACATGCACTAAATACCGGTTTTTGACGTAAATTACTTACAGAACACAAAAAATCGTGTGACATGCCTGGTTCGAACAGAAGAAATACCTGTGTCGTCTCAAATAATTAATGGTTTGGTTGATGTGCTATTCCTAACTTTAAGGGATATGCCCAACCGCAAATGGTATATCAACAAACACCAAGTGCAAAACCGTGACGAATGTCAGAGCATCATAAACGAACTAAAGAAAGACAAAGTTCGAAATATTATTGGTTTCCAGAATGGTCTCCATGAATTCATCATCATTCATCGATGTGAAAATGGCAGCCCATATGCTATCAAATGTTGGTGCCACAATTATCTAAAGTTATGTGTCCCAGTACAGAGAAAAGGGAGATTAAATATGAACCAATTAGTTCATTGCTCAACGTTAAAGCTGATGAACGAGGTGCTTCAAGTACTGATGGAATATAATAACAACCCAGACAAGAAAAAGATCATTCAGCTGGCCATATTTGAACGGAGAAGATACGAGCCTAGCACGGTGAAACTGTAAGTATACTTTAATATATTTTTATTGGGACAACAAAAAGTCTACTAAGGAGACTTTTGTGGAAAAAACAAAAAGTCTACTAAGTAAACTTTTTGCAGATAAACAAAAAGTGTACTAATGAAAAACTTCCATATTTACAGTTTCGTTGAAAGAAAGTTAAAGAAGGTGAAGATGACATTGCCATGCGGCGCAAAAGTTATAGAAATGTTGCAACCGGTGTACTCCATCAATCTGTCAACAATCCAGCTGAACCAGTTGGAAAACAGCAAGACGTTCGTAGGAACCGACAACAATGAAATTTTCGCCAGGACCTGCTTTAACGAGAAAACCATCAAACAACTCTCGGAACCATTGCCAGAAATCGTTGCTGCCATT